AAAAAAAAAAAAAAAAAAAAAAAAAAAAAAAAAAAAAAAAAAAAAAAAGCCAGTAAAACTAAAAGCTACGAAATTAAGCATGTTAGAACTAATGCAGGTATGACTCAGAAACATCAGTGAAAAAGAAAAAATAACGAACTAAGGTGTTATCACAGGAAAAACAAGGAAGATATAAATATGAGAACTGTTTGAAGGTTTTAATTAGTAGGACATTGAATTAACTGTAGAGTTGGGAGGTAAAGGAAAAGGTAGATGAATTTGCAGCTTGGATACGAGGTCTGAGAGATGAGCTTCAGGTGCCTTGGCGATATCCAAGTGGAGAGGTCGAGCAGGATGTTGGGTCTGTGGTTGGGAGTTCAGGAGAGTCCCCTGGCTGGGTTATAGTTTTGCCTGTCACCAGGACATAGCTGGTGGTAAAAGCCATGAAAACATGTTGCTTTAGTTCACTGGTTCTCAACCTAAGGCAATTTTCCCACCTCCCTACCTCACGTTCCCAGGGAACATTTGGCAGTGTCTAGGGACATGTGTTTACCACTACGGCAGAGGAATGATAATGCTGCTAAATATTCCACACTGCACAGGACAGCCAACAACAAAGAATTATGCAAGGCCAGGCATGATGGCTCATGCCTGTAATCCCAGCACTTTGGGAAGCTGAGGCAGGAGGATCGCTTGAGCCCAAGAGTTTGAGATCAGCCTGGGCAACAGAGTGAGACCCTGTCTTCTACAAGGAAGTTTGTTTTTTTTTTTCTGAGATGGAGTCTTACTCTATTGCCCAGGCTGGAGTGCAGTAGTGACATCTCAGCCCACTGCAACCTCCACCTCCCAGGTTCAAGTGATTATACTGCCTCAGCCTCCTGAGTAGTGGTGATTACAGGCATGCATGACCACGCCCAGCTAATTTTTGTATTTTTAGTATAGATGGGGTTTCACCATGTTGGCCAGGGTGGTCTCAAACCCCTGATCTTGTGATCCACCTGCTTCAGTCTCCCAAAGTGCTCAGATTACAGGTGTGAGCCACTGCACCCGGCCAAGAAAATGTTTTTAATTAGCTGGGCATAGTGACATGTACCTGTAGTCCCAGCTACTTGGTAGGCTGAGGTGGGAGGATGGCTTTACCCTAAGAGGTCAAGGCTGCAACAAGCCATGATCACACCACTGCACTCCAGCCTGAGCAACAGAGCTGAGACACTGTTTCAAGGGAAAAAAAAAAAAAATCCAACTCAAAATATCAGTAATGCCAAAGTTAAGAAACCCTGCTTTGGTTGCATATGCTTCTTTCTTTGCATCAAACAAGTTTGATGATGAATGCATCATGGCATTTTCCCTCCCTTTCGTTGGCTCTGGTTTTTTGTTTTTTGTTTTGTTTTTTTTTTAAACAGGGTGTCAAGAAAAGAGGCCTTGTTTGTCACCCATGCTGGAATGCAGTGGTGTGATCTCAGCTTACTGCAACCTCGGCCTCACAGGTTCAAGCAAATCTGCCTCAGCCTCCCCAAGTAGCTGGGGCTACAGGTGCATGCTACCATACCTGGCTAATTTTTTGTGTGTTTTTAATAGAGACGGGATTTCACTATGTTAGCCAGGCTGGTCTCAAACTCCTGACTTCAAGTGATCTGCCCACCTTGGCCTTCCAAAGTGCTGGGATTACAGGCATGAGCCACCATGGCTCTGTCATTAGGAACTGTGATAGTGAGATTTCATTTGCTTTGGTCAATGTATGTGGTTGTGTATGTATATACAAATAAGCACACACATATAATCCAAGCTTGTTTCTATGAATTTCCCGCAATCATGGTGATAAAATGATAAGCCTTTCACACTTGTCCTTGGGATTTCATGAACTAAAGAGAAAAGTTGGATTGGTATATATTTCTAGACATGCCAGACATGAGGCATGTGGTATTTGGAGCATCATAGATTTGGACCCAGAAGAATAATTGTTGTGTTTCATTCACTGTATGGCACTCACACCAGAACAGCTTTACACTTCATTCATCTAGAATTTCAGTGCTATTTGCCAAAATCATTAGGCCTCAGACCAAGGTCTGAATATTCAAAGTACCCCGCTTTGGCCAGGCACAGTGGCTCATGCCTGTCATCTCAGCACTTTGGGAGGCCAAAGCAGGTGAATCACCTGAGGTCAGGAGTTCAAGACCAGCCTGGCCAACATGGTGTAACCCCATCTCTACTAAAAATACAAAAATTAGCTTGGCGTCATGGTGCACGCCTGTAATCCCAGCTACCCAGGAGGCTGAGGCAGAAGAATCGCTTGAACCTGAGAGGTGGAGGTTACAGTGAGCCAAGATCATACCATTGCACCCCAGCCTGCGCAACAGAAGTGAGACTCCATCTTAAAAAAAAAAAAATCCTACTTTGTCAATAGGTATTTGTTATAAACTAAATACATCCTTGACTGTGCAGAGACTAAGAAACATAAGACATTGTCTTACCTCCCAGGAGCTTGTCTTCTAGATGATAACAGAAATCTTTATGAAACAACAACAAATGTATTATGCATTCATTCCTGAGGAGGGGAAGGAAATAAAGGTGACTGAACAGTGTGGAGATTTCAACTATATATATAAAGACATTCAGTGAAAAACGTCAGGAAGGAAATAGGCCGGAATACCCACAGTGCTTGCCTCTGGGAGATGGCACTATACGTTATTTTTCTGCTTTGTCAGTGCTCTTCAACTGAAGCCCACCAAGAACACATGTGTAGTTGAGCAAGTTGGGCTTATTACTCTTTGCAGTTCAGGAGAATGTACCCCATGGGGAACTAGGGGCATTATCTCAGTAAGAGGGTATTAGAAAGGACTTAATTGATTTGGGATTCGTGTTAGATTTGGGAAGGATTTAATAATAGGCTTTGCCCTGAATGGCTGTTGAAACCCAAGCATGATTCTGTAATTGCA